AGATTTATATTTTGTCATATAAAATACCCAAATTCCCTCCGTAAACAGATTTCAAAAAATTTTTTTTTTGCATTTGTTGCTAAAAATTGTAAAATTTTTGCAAAAACGTTGTTATAATTTTTAAAAGCAAAAAAAACTGTTTTGTATTGTAGTTAAGTAATATTTTTAAATATTTTGTAAATTTGTTTTTGTTCTGTCTTGAAATGAGTTTTTGTGAAAAGGTAAATAGTTTGTTTTTGTTTTAAAACTTTGAAAAAAAGATGTTTTTTGTTAAATGCCCCGATCGAAATTTGGCCCTATTTTATATCCCAAATCTTTTTCCTTGTTTTATTAATGTATTTTTCATTGGGATTCTAATAGTTACATATCCTTAAAGGGGATAAAAAATGGAAACTAATGTCCACTTTTAACGAAAGGCCCTTTAGTTATGCAAAAATTTTAGCTTTCATGCTTGTTTAAACTATTTTACTAAATTAAAAAATGTGGTTTTTTAAAAAAAGAAAATTTAACCCGTATATGCCTGTTTTATAATATTGTGGGTTTGTAAGTCACTTTTCATTGGACGTTTATATGTTTTATATACATTGTTTGCTATATTTTTTTTAAAAATGTTACTTTTTATCAGAAATAGAAGTTTGCTGTATTATAAATTCGTTACAAATATTCCTGACAGCTGATATGATCGTATACGATTGTATGCAATATAGTCCCCGGCTATATTTCCGACAGACCTTTTATATATGGCCATATAACCTCACCTAAAATCTTTATAACTAATGAATGTAACGAAATAAAGTCTTATGAATGATTCTTATTCATTCCAAAGGCATGTAAATAGCACTAAGTAAATTTATGGCAATTCAAAGCTCACCTCTATGATGTTAGCAGTTATGGCGTCACCATGAAGAAAGATCCCTAAGGAAGCTAAATATCACGGTACTGTGACGTCATCAAGCCTCTACAACCTTTTTCATAGGCGTTCTATATTCAATTTTTTCACGAAGCTCCGGATTGCTTTTTAAATTCGCATTCGTCATGTCTGTTCCCCAAACAAGACCAGGATTTACAGAGTAAACTCTGATGCCATGTGGTCCCAGTTCGTAAGCAAACTGTCGCGTTGCTGCATCAAGCCCTGCTTTTGATTACATGAACTTCACTTTGTAGTTGAGGTTAACTTTCGTCACGGTCTGAGTATTGTTTTCAAAAGAGGTTATACCATTACGACTTAAGTGGTATTTGTATATCAAATGACAACCCCAGCTTTGTTGATATCATGTTTTTTTCTTTGTTGCATTTTATTGGTAATGCTTAAATGATTCCCCTTTTATAGAATATAGTTAAAACTAAACAACCCCCCCCCACTTAAAAAGGCTTAAAACAACACCTGCCTATGTACGCCAAAATAGAAGGAAACTTTTAACGATATTATATTGAAAATTGATGTTTCTCTGTGAAAATAATTATTTATTGATCAAGCACAATTGTATGTATGTGCTTCAAAATTAGCCTGAAATTACTCTACAAAGGGAAAAAGCTACAGTTAGAGGTACAACACAAGGGGATTTCATCCTCACATCAAAAACTTAGAGATATAGTCTAATTCTATTGACTTGACAATTGTGAATAAATTATAGCACTCATTTAAATATTCGACCCAACTTCGGTTCTGTCCGTGTAGTTTACGAGAATTGTTATGGAGCATATAACTTATATATTGAAAAAAGTCAAACAAGCTTAAAAATACATAGATCATCGACACATCAGAAATAGCGCAATCGGTTAAGTGATTGCCTAATACATGAGAGGTCCCTATTGATGCTATTGTTTGAGACTTATTCTTTATTTTTGCAGTGTATTTAAATGAAATGTTTGGGCGTTTGAAAAATTGTCTATACGGATATGAAACAGTTTGAACCTAGAAAAACTGTTTTGTCTCGTTCTGTATTGTGTTTTACGGCATTGAAATGACATTTTTAGTTTTTAACCCGAATGGATTTTGAATATTTATTCTTAAAATCATGTTATTAAGAAAGTACAGACTTAACCAAAATAATTGCAAAACCTATTAAAACAAAACAACGAATAAGATATGAAACAATTATAGCTTCAATAATGTTGAAAATATAAAGACCTTCTTGGTCTCGATCTTACAACATGTAGGATATTTAGTAAGTATTAACCCATAATTTATCCCATGGCACTATAACGCTTAGTACAATCATTTCATAGAAACAAATGAAATTTAAATTTTATCATATCTTATTGCGTACATCTCGCGGAATTTACCGAAAATATATCGAAGATTAAAATACACTGTATGCATTGACTGTATAATACAATTCACAGGCTAATAAAATCAAACAATATAATGGTGTAAAACATATAAAGACTTTTTTACAACCGGATCTGTTGCAATGAAAAATCGATCGGAAGTTGTATTTTCCGCGCATGCACAATCTGTGTAGAGCATCGCCCTTCATAGAAATATAATAGAAGTTCAAAAACAAATCCGAGTTAGTTTAAGGAAAAAAGTAGAAAAATTTTGAAATAGCTTTTAACAAAAACATATATAAAATATGTCCTTTTATCGCTTTGTGACAAAGTTTACCATAAAAAAGCCTGGAAAGATGATTGTTTAAGAATTCCCCTTTACGATCACGTACCTGACATTGAAATTTACATTGTTGTAAAAAATGTGGAAATACATCTATTGGCAAATAAAGAGGTCAACTTAATTATTGTTGAAATAGTGAATATCAAAACTAAAGAAATTTTGATAATATAGAAAATCGTGGTTAATTAGCATGCTGAAAAAAAGTCGGAATATGTGATAATGCATTTTAAGTTTTCAGTTTACCTGATGTTATCCTTTATCCGATTGATGCCAAACAGATTTTTTTAGCACATAAAAATGTGTTCATAACATTTCAAAATATTGAGAAATTAAGATGGGCAGTGGGTAGTAAAATAACACACTTTTATCATCTGGCTCCTCGAAACACATGTAATGCTACTGGAACTGGAAATAAACGAAGTAAGATGAACTCCTTCAGGAAAGCTGAGCTTGTTTATAGAACAAAAATTATTGCAATGTGATGTGCCAAAAGAATAGAATCAGTCACTCGAACAGAGTACGGTTCATGCCTAGCAAGTAGAGCATTCAGTAAATGAAGCAACATGTCCTTTCTGGTCTAAGTTATAGAAAGTTACACTAATTCAAATTTACACCCCGACTAAAATAAATAAAAAATGTAAAAATATCTCAGATAATTTGTATACCCAGCTACAAGAAATACTAGAACTTTACAGAGTACCTAGTGGCTGTCAGAAATGACATGAATCCCATGCCTGGGCAGTCTGTCAAGCAGTTTACCATCACTTTCGCAAAGAACTGATAACAAAACACTGTTCCAATTAAGATGTGTTCCTGATCTATTCAGGAATGAGCAGGCCCATTCATGAGTGACATTAATTCAACCCATTCTCCTTTTATGACAATTCTGCAATGTTATAGTGCGTATTTATCAAGATTTGTAAGTTGCTGTATGTAAGCATAGGGACGGAAATTGATTCATCATAGTTTTAGCGATTTTGTCAGAAAAGATATAACTTAAACGAACATTTTGACAATGACGACGTTTGAACATGATACACAAATGCGATAGTTTATTTGGTATAGTTATAGCTTATTTGCCGTAAGTACTTTAGTGATAATAATGTGCGTTCGTAAAATTAAAGCAAAAACACCAACTACATGTAATTCATATAAAAAGAGACACCTGCATTGAACAAAGTTGTTGCCCCATTTCTAGTAATTGCTCTAGCCCTATCAATTTACATCGCATGTTAAATATGTGATATAAAGTTTCTACAAACATTTTGTTATTACGTTACGTTACCTAGGCTTGTACTCTGAGCATGATAAAACACATTGACTGATCAATGGTTACTGTATCTCATGTATGTCTTCAAGAGGGATATCCATATATTTAAAAATTCGTCATTTATGTGATATAATAAACCACTGAAAAGACATATCGTACAAGAAGTAAAGAATTTGGACTAGTAATCAGTAACCCCCGTTTTTACAACAATTACACAGACCTTGCGTTTACACAAAAAAACCAACAATAAAATCTCTCAAAATATAATTTATTACCATAAAATATACAAACATTACAAAATGAAAATTGTGTCATAATGCCTATAAAAAATATATGTCCATGTAAATATGTACTTTACTATAATTATAATTCTATATTCAAGCCTTAAACCATTTTTACGGAGTCGCAAAAGCGGCACGGGTATGTGATAAATAGGTCTAGACAATAATGCAGTTTGTAATACCGCCGTCCAATATATGACAAGTTGCCGTCACCATTAAAGAAAGATCACTGAGCAAATAAACCACGGCACCAGACACGTCATCAATTCCTACAAGCCTTTTCATTGGCGTTCTGTATTCAGTACTATCACGAAGCTGTGGGTCACTTTTCACAATCCCATCTGTCATGTCTGTTCCGGAAACAAGACTCGGATTAACAGAGTTTACTCTAATGTTATGCGGTCCCAGCTCGTAAGCAAACTGTCGCGTTGCTGCATCAAGCCCTGCCTTTGATATGACGTAAGGCATTATTCCACCGTAAAGAGGATTTATACTGGACATACTCGAAACATTCACTATAGATCCTGGTTTTCCTTCTTTGATCATTTTCTCCGCGACAACTTTTGTGACGTTGATAGCACCGAGCAGATTAGTTTCCAAATATGTACCCAACTGTTGTTTGGTCAACGATTGAAATCCTGTGTATTCGTTTATTATTCCGGCATTATTTACTAGGCCATCCATCACATTCAAATCTTCAATTTTTCTTTTAGTATCCTCCCAATCATTTACATCTCCAACGATTGGCACGATTGATTTATGTTCTTTAACAAGCGATTCTAACGAGGATGGTGTTCGGCTTAACGCGTAAACATTGCTTCCCTGTTTAGATAGAGCGATAGAAATAGCTCGACCGATACCTCTTCCTGCACCCGTCACTAAAATATTTTTTCCAAATAAATTCAACTGCGCTGCCATTTTTATGTCTTGTATCGAGTGCACGCTAAGTAAAATATCAAGTAGATTTTGGTAATTAATATGCACCACCCGTTTCGGTCTGCGTGTTTTATCAATACTGTGTGCATAAATGTGTCATATAACATGCATGTATTCAACAAATGTTTGAAAAGCATTTTTCGTTTAAGTAGAGAATGTTTTTTTTCGGTTTGCATGAAAGATCAAAATGTATGCCAAAAAGTGAACATCACAAAATGCAATATTTTCATGTGCTATGTGACAAAATTCGGTTGAACATGCGAAAGAAATAATGTCATTATAAATTTCTTATGTTTACGGATTATTGCCGCTTATGCGATATAAAAACTATTATGCCACATTTGAATAGAAATCATCCATATATAAACTTGGAGTGGTGACAATAAACAAAAAGACACTTTTGGATCGGCCACTTGAAATAACTCGCCAAATTCGTACCACAGTGCTTAAGTTCATAAAAACATTGATTTTACATACCAAATTTGAAAATGAATTATAAAGCAGATAAATACATGTCACATAATAAGCGTACATATAAATAAACAAGGAATTAAAAACGTATATCAATCCAAAGACCACTGAACACGAGTATAATAAGAAAAATAAGACAAGCAACATAAAATACTAGCTACGGTGTATAATTGTAATAATACATATACATGTACCTCGGAAAACAACGAATATTGAATGCCGTCTGTTTAAACGGATACTGCATATGACGAAAGAAAACATCAATCGTGAAAAATCGAATGAATTAACATTTGATGTCTGCTAGGGTTGCGAATGATAGAATTGACTTTATTCGAATATATCCTGAAGTATATAAATATTATCACTTATAAGTGAATATAAAGGCAAGATTAACAGAATTCTTTCAACTAATGCACTTATATGAACATAATCACGGAGTAATTTATCGTAAAAAGAAAACAGGTTAAAAACTTCTAAGCAGTGCATACCCGTCATCACATATGTGATGGCATTGCTTGAGAAAAAGAATAAGTTTTTATTATTTCATTTTATTTTGTAAATATTTTTTGTTTTGTTTATTTGTTTACGTTCAGGAAAAGCCTGGGTCCTACTTGTGCATGTTTATAAGTAGATTCATTTTGTTTGCTTGTTTTCGTTCAGGAAAAGCATGGTATCTACATGTGCATGTTAATAAATAGTTTCATTTTGTTTGTTTTCGTTCAGAAAAAGTATTGCTACTTCTTGTGCATGTTTAGTTTTATAGTTCTACTACTTGATCATTTATTTATTTTTTCTATTAATTTTGATGTTTCAAATTATGATAATGATTATATAAAAAAAAATTAAAAAATAAAACGAGAAAAAAGAAAAGAGAAGGACAAAAAACAACAACAAAGACAGCACAGTCCGATATGAAATATGAACGTACAGGTCCGGTATACTTGTGTTTTTTTAGTTGCCCCCCTCCAAAAAAAAAACAACAACAAAAACAACAAACATTCAGTGAATTACTGGATTCAACATTAATAGGTCACCAGACTGTATGGACATGATTGGTTACATGTCCGGGGACAGTGTACTCTCAGTGCCTGAAAGAGCGGATGAACCCTGCACGCACACAGACAGACAGACACGCACGCACGCACGTACCAACGCAAACGCACACGCACACGCACACACACACACACGGCTCAAAGCTATGGACAGTCGGTCTCAGCCCAGCTGCCGAAATGTGAACATCACAGAAATAATCATTTAATATTTCTGATTAATTACTTGAATTTTTGGATTATTAATTATTAAGTTATATGTAATTTTTAATACTAAAGTATTGAAAACTCAATATCCAAGTAGTTTTTCTGTATATTAAATAGTTTGGAAAATAACACCACATTTTTTTATCAACTATAAACATACGTTGCTGTTATAAACACTATTTTAATTAAACTTGATTCAAAAGTTTGAACAAATCATTTGTTGATCATTTGTAACGAATCAACTGGCAAAGAAGCCATAAGAAATTCTTTTAAAAATTCAATGTATTTAATCAGCACAAACTTTCTATTTAATGCTATTGAATCAGTGTATCACTTGCACTTTGTTAAATGTCATCCGTAACTAGGTAAGTGTTTATAAAGTCAGCAAAAAGTATATCAATCTGTCACGCGCGACGCAGACAGATTTAATTTCAACCGTTCCGACTTACAAACACTTATCTGAACAAAATATGAAACATAAGACTTTTTATCAGCGCTTTGTATTATGCGCGAATAATACAAAGCGCTGATAAAAAGTAAGTCTTATGTTTGTCCCTTTTTTATGTTTAAAGCATGTGTAGATACTTTGACCATAGCATGTTACAACAAGATGTATATATAAATGTATAATATGTTGAGTCAGATCAGCCTACCGTAAAGAAAGACGATATTACAGTGGTGAACTAATTAAAACAAGAGCATTGTATGTGGTAATAACACTCGTCTGTAAAAATTACCACTTTTGACAAAACTGTTAAGTAAAAAAGGGACATAAGTCCAAAACTGCCGGAATTATGTCCCATGTCTAACAACTGCACCGTCGTATTGTATATGAGTAAATATGTAAGTTTTATTTTACTACCACTCTGACACACTCGAAAATGGTACTGTGTCCAAGTTTCATGTTAAGTACTTTTATAATGTTTGAACATTGGGCTACATTAAAGTGTTTGAACGACGACGAAAGCAATGACGACGAGCTGAAATCATCCATATAACTAATATAAAATGTAACTTTCAGATATACGACGGGACATGTGAACTGTTTGAGTTATTTTATCGTGATAAAGTATCTTATAATTATTCAACTTGAAAGAAAATAAAGTTAGACTGTTAAATTTCTTTTTACATCGTTTTTCACACACAAAAGAAGAGAATGTCTAACATGAAGTACGTATCTTTACGATTCTCACGGCAGACATGTACATGTAGTTCTTTATTGCCTGGCGCTATTGGACGAAAGAAACTTGAAACTTGAAACTTGAAAACTTGATTTAACGCCTATTTCTACATATAGAATACATATTCAATGGCGTTGTACAGCTATATACCTTATATGTGCTACTCCCAGTGCTACCATACACAATACTCCCAGCAGTGCGACGGTCACAGTGATTGGGTCAATCCCCACCAACATGTAACAATCTACACCCCTGCACCCCTGCACATGATAACACATGGGCTAGACTTTATTATATTATTATACAATGAAAATAATAAAAACACTAGAAATATACAATCATGCACAAAACAATTAGGAACAGACAATGCCTTCAGCGTCACTTAAAAAAGTGCAAAAAAGTCCTTGAAGTAAAATGATTTCAGTTGTCTTTTGAAAATTTCAACAGATTCACATTTTCTCATATTAATAGGTAGTTCATTCCACAATTTTGGTCCTATCGTGCTAAAAGCTCTGTCAGAAAAAGTCCTCTTCTTATTAAAAGGAACAACATAACAACCAACTGAGGATTCAGATGATCTTAACCCTTTACCCCATATATACGCGAAACAACGCACTTTCGACCCCCCCCTTTTTAGGCCTCAAAGAGTGAAAAAATGTCCTATTTGGGCCCCAAACACATGTTTTCGTTTGAGAAATGTTGCTAAAAAAATTGAGTACTTTTTCGGCGCCGCCCCCCATCCAAAAGATACATCAGGGGGTTGCCAGAAGGGGATGTGCCCCCTTCTGTTAGGGGGGTTTGAAGGGGGGCGGAGTCCCCCTCATCGCCAAGAAAAATTTTGGACTTGTGAGAGGCTAAAAATGACCCCAGGTCGATCATAATGTAACGTGTAACCAACGCTGAAAAAGCCTTTGACTCTATCTCAATCCCTTGAGAAGTTGCAGCACTTTGAAATAAATTTTGATGGAAAAAATCGAGGCAAAATAGTGATTTTGGGCAATTTTGAGATGCCCCCTCGTTGCCATGGTAACAGGAAATTTAAGACTGAGCATGTCGTTACAAAAGGCAAATGGTTCCAGTCAACATTTGTGCCAAGTTTGATTAGTATTGAAGCATTTTTCATAGTTTCATAGCAGTTTTGAACTTGTAACAGGAGGCTTTTCAGTGAAAACGGCCATTTTCCACAATATGCTCATGGGGGAAAGGGTTAACTAAAAAAATTATAAATGTTACAAAACAACAATTTTTTCACCAAAATTAGGTGAAAGACCGCATGTTAACATGGAAAAAACTAGTTTTTAGGTGATTTCAAAGTTTTTCATTATTTTTAGTTAACCCCTTTACCCCATATATACGCGAAACAACGCACTTTCGACCCCCCCCCCCCTTTTTAGGCCTCAAAGAGTGAAAAAATGTCCTATTTGGGCCCCAAACACATGTTTTCGTTTGAGAAATGTTGCTAAAAAAATTTGAGTACTTTTTCGGCGCCGCCCCCCATCCCAAAAGATACATCAGGGGGTTGCCAGAAGGGGGATGTGCCCCCTTCTGTTAGGGGGGTTTGAAGGGGGGCGGAGTCCCCCTCATCGCCAAGAAAATTTTGACTTGTGAGAGGCTAAAAATGACCCCAGGTCGATCATAATGTAACGTGTAACCAACGCTGAAAAGCCTTTGACTCTATCTCAATCCCTTGAGAAGTTGCAGCACTTTGAAATGAATTTTGATGGAAAAAATCGAGGCAAAATAGTGATTTTGGGCAATTTGAGATGCCCCCTCGTTGCCATGGTAACAGGAAATTTAAGACTGAGCATGTCGTTACAAAGGCAATGGTCCAGTCAACATTTGTGCCAAGTTTGATTAGTATTGAAACATTTTTTCATAGTTTCATAGCAGTTTGAACTTGTAACAGGAGGCTTTTCAGTGAAAACGGCCATTTTCCACAATATGCTCATGGGGAAAGGGTTAACTAAAAAAATTATAATGTTACAAAACAACAATTTTTCACCAAAAATTAGGTGAAAGACCGCATGTTAACATGGAAAAAACTAGTTTTTAGGTGATTTCAAAGTTTTTCATTATTTTTAGTTAACCCTTGACCCCATATATACGCGAAACAACGCACTTTTCGACCCCCCCCTTTTTAGGCCTCAAAGAGTGAAAAAATGTCCTATTTGGGCCCCAAACACATGTTTTCGTTTGAGAAATGTTGCTAAAAAAATTGAGTACTTTTTCGGCGCCGCCCCCCATCCAAAAGATACATCAGGGGGTTGCCAGAAGGGGGATGTGCCCCCTTCTGTTAGGGGGGTTTGAAGGGGGCGGAGTCCCCCTCATCGCCAAGAAAATTTTGGACTTGTGAGAGGCTAAAAAATGACCCCAGGTCGATCATAATGTAACGTGTAACCAACGCTGAAAAGCCTTTGACTCTATCTCAATCCCTTGAGAAGTTGCAGCAACTTTGAAATAAATTTTGATGGAAAAAAATCGAGGCAAAATAGTGATTTTGGGCAATTTTGAGATGCCCCCTCGTTGCCATGGTAACAGGAAATTTAAGACTGAGCATGTCGTTACAAAGGCAATGGTCCAGTCAACATTTGTGCCAAGTTTGATTAGTATTGAAGCATTTTTCATAGTTTCATAGCAGTTTGAACTTGTAACAGGAGGCTTTTCAGTGAAAACGGCCATTTTCCACAATATGCTCATGGGGGAAAGGGTTAAGGTTCGTTTTGACACTTGATGAGACAAAAGCTCTATTAAATATGATGGTGCGTTTCCTACCGAACAGTTATACATGTATGTCAGTATCTTGAAACTGATTCGTGCTTTAATCGGAAGCCAGTGCAGATCGAATAATGCCTGTTTAGAACTATCATACTTGGAACGACCTAACACCAGTTTGGCACACATATTTTGAATACGTTGAAGTTTGGCTAATTCATTTTGAGATATGCCGTACAGAATGATGTTGCAATAATCTAAATGGGATATTACTAAAGATAAAACAAGTGTTTCAGCGGCTTCCTTTGTCAGATACTTTCGAATGCTCTTGATCTTGAAATAGTTTAACATAGCAGTTCTACACTTTCTTTTAATGTGATCTTTGAAATTTAGAGACTCATCCAAAAAAGCACCAAGATACCGTATACTATGTTGTGATTCAATAACATTACCACATATATTGATTTCTTTGGTGTTACACTTATTCAGCTGTGGACGACTTCCGAAAAGAATAAACTCTGTCTTTGAATTGTTCATTTTTAACTTGTTGCTGTTCATCCACTCATTTATATGCAATTAGAGATAAGATGTACATTTTTCAAAGCAATACAACACTTGCATTCAGACGGTAATTGTACGCAATAGGAATCATCTGACGTTTCCCTAAAAAGGACCCCTTTACATTGATCCTTTACATACTTTACTCACTAAATACTTTTTTCGCCATGAGTAATGATTGAAACACCTCCATTTAAAAAAATATTTTTTTTTTAATGTGAAGCCTGA